TGAGAGTTCGTAGGGCTGGTTGATTGTGAGTCGAGACGGTGTGCGTCCCCGCCAGCAGGACATTGGTGTAGTGGTCTGACTACAGGAAGGAAGGTCACTTGATTTCATAGTGTAGAGAGTGTCCAACCTCTAGCCAGACTTTGTTGTAACGGTCTGATGGCATATGCTGCTTGATTGCATTGAGGAGACAAATGAGAGTGTGACCTGTAGGGGTTCTTATTTTGCCAAGTGTAAGGAGGCATACATGGCGGATTGGTTGTGTGGACTGGAGGCGGTGTAGCCTCCAAATGAGGTGAGGTTCATTCCCCTTCGGTAGCTCAAAGGCCTGGTAGACGGTCTTAAGGATTGCGGATATTGCATTGGTGTGAGTGATTTGTGGCATATGTATATGCCTACGTGAGCGTTTGTCTTTTCTTGAGTTTCTATGCAACGGCTTTGACCGTGGCTTTCTTGCGTTGTATTTTGTGCACACCGTCTGTACACATTGGTCGCGTTTTGCCTAATAGTTTTTCTTTGTTTGGGCTTCAGTCCTTGCTCATGCTAGAGAACTTGATTGGTTGAGCTTGTGGTTGGACTTGTCTGATGTGTGTGGGGTAACCGTTTGCTATTTTCCCCTACCAGTCGTTGGGAAGCTGCCCTGTGGGAGGTGTTTTTGATATTTGGTTGGGAGTAGACTTGGGTTGCTGCGGGATTTGGGGATGACATGAGGGTTAAAAAAACACATGTAGAGGCTTGGATGATGCCTTCTTTACGTGGGATATCGGGACGACATCAGGGCTAAAAAACCAGCTGTACAGTTTTTAATAATGCCCTCTTTGGTAGCGACTGTACACTGCTGGTGCTGTGGAATCGAACTCTCTTGTTCGAACACAATGCTTGATATTGTTAATCCGCCACTACGTCTGAGCCTCTTTTTGTGGAGGTGGATTTCCCTCTCGTGCTGATAAAAAATGAACTGTCACAGGCATGTTTTCATTTTGTTGGGCTGGTGCCGGCCAGCGAAGTATGCAGTTGTGTGGACTTCGAGAATACGTATTTACCTGGGCAACGTACTAGTGGTTTAAACCAGCAGTACACGGCCCCAGCCTTGTGGAAATTCATTCGTTGGCTACCGGGCACAATGGCTGGTGGCGGGAGCCAACACAGAAAAAAGAAGTGTGCCACTGGTGGTTCGGCACCTCCAGGTGCGGAACCTCCAGGTGCGGGTGTACTGCTGGTTTAAGACCACGCGATGAGAATGAGAGGGTGTTGGGGATTGTGGACTAGGGAGGGGAGCATGTTGCAAAGAGGAAAGGACAAGTGGAGTGGCAGAGGGTAAGATGGAGGGGGGGTCTGTGGGGTAACTTGGTTTGGGGAGGGAGCCTAGCGATGTTTGGACATGAGCGCAAGTTATAGGTTGGTGATTGGTTTCTTTAGCGAAGTGGTATTCAGTCGGCTTGGCAGACTGTCTCATCTGTATCCAAGAAAGGGAAATGCAGTCTGACCAGATGTGGGTGTTTAACACGTCTCTGGAAGTGTTATGCCTCTGGAAGTGTTTTGCCTCCTCTCGAAGTGTTTCGCCACCTGTTTTCCAGGACAGTTGATGTTGTGTGCATGAGCAGCATACAGGGGCGGTCCTTCCCACTGTGCTACGGGTAGCCATCATGAACCTGTGCTACCGGTCCTCCTGAATTTAGGACCGCGGGCGGGGTAGTGAGTGGTGGTTTAACAAGTCTTTGGAAGTGTTGTGCCTCCTGTCATCCAGGACAGTTGATGCAGCATGCCTCAGCAGCACACACTGCGGTGGTCTCGGTGGCTATTCTTCAGAATGTGCAAAAGATTACAGTCCAGATGTTCATACGACAGAGTCCAACCCATATCATTATCCGAACATGTGAAGGTGAAGTTCAGCTGCCGAACGCACATTTGTTGCACTTTTTCTGCGTGCTATGACTGGCTTGCTTGAGAGCTTTATCCTGGCTTGTATATAGGTAATAAGATTCATGTGCTTGTATCGGTAAAGACGGCAACGTCAACAAGGACCATGTGGTCTGAATGTCAACATGGGTGCGCAGCAGGTTGCCTTTAACAGGGATGCAGATCATGCAGTTGTACCTGTGCTTTGGTCCGGTCATTGGTCATGTGCCTGAGCTGGCTGCCTACCTTCGTCACCCGTGTACGATGTACAGTGTAAATGCAGCAATAACGAGGAAGCGTTGTAATCGGGTGAAGGTCTTGGTGGTTGACTCTCTTCGTTTCCCCTCGGATGGGCTGTGCAAATGAATGCAGGAATAAAGCTCCTCGGATTCCAACCTTGACTTGACATATTTTGGGCTCACAATCCTTCATCAGTGTGTTTACCATCTGGTGTCGTTCAAAGAGTCTTTCCAGTGATTTAAAAACAAAAAAGCCTTCCGAGTGTTGCATGGCTCGAGGACAAGGTTGTTTGGTGCCACTACCGTGTCCCCCAGCATCAAATTTACGGCCATTATACCTGTATTTGAGGCAAACTTTCAGACTAGATACTTACATCTACATCTACATCTACACCTACTATAAGAACTGCTAAACGTCATATCTCACGGCCTGAATCGCAGGCGGGTAACGCGCCGCGGACGGACCAGATCGCTGGCCGATCAGAAAACTTTCTGACCGGCCTGCGATCTGGGCCGTCCGTGGTGCGTTACCGGCCTGCGATTCAGGCCGTGAGATCTCGGTACCTGAGGCGCCCGTTCGCCTGCCCGTCGGCCCGTAATCGTGGCCGCCCCCCACCCCCCCCACCCCACCCCAACCTTTTCGGACCGTGACAGATCGGTACCTGAGGGGGCCGGAGGCTACCGGAGGCACCCGTTCGCCAGGCCGTCGGCCCGTAATCGTGGCCGCCCCCCCCACCCCAGTACCGAATCGCCCCCGCGCCCGGTTTTCCGTTGGCGCTGTTTTTCGGTTGCCGGCCACGGCCACTGCTCCAATCGCCCGCGCGCCTGGTGTTTGGTTACCGCCCACGGCCACCTCTCCAATCGCCCGCCAGTTCGTCACTCTTTCTCGCCTGTGTGGTCCGTGCGCGTGTGCTCGCCGGTCGTCGGTGCGCGTGTTTGCTCCTTTGCTGATCTCCTTGGTGCTCATTGCTCTCTCTCTCTCTCTCTCTCTCTCCCCCCCCCCCCTCCTTTGCTGCTCGACGGGGAGGGTGCTCGGTGCTCATCGTGCTTTCGTTCGATTTGTTGCTCATTGTGAGTTCGTTCGATTTGGTGCTCATCATGGTTCGACTTGCTGGCCCGGTGCTCATCGTCTTCATTGCTGCTCTTCGTCTACACCGAAGGTGCTCATTGCTTTCTCTCTCTCTCTCTCTCACACACACACACACACACACTGTGCTCTCCTTTGCTGCTCGACGGGGAGGGTGCTCGGTGCTCAGCGTGCTTTAGTTCAATTTGGCGCTCATCGTGATTCGATTTGCTGGCCGGTGCTCATCCGTGCTTGCATCCGTGCTTTGGATCCGTGCTTTGTCTTCATTGCTGCTCATCGTCTTCGCTCTTTGGTGCTCTCCTTGGTGCTCATTTTTCTCTCTCTCTCTCTCACACACACACACACACACACTGTGCTCTCCTTTGCTGCTCGACGGCGACTTGGGTGCCGTGCTTGGATTCGTGCTCATCATTGATCCGTGGATCCGTGCTTCGATTCGTGCTCTGTCCATTGGTGCTCATCGTGTTCTCTCCATTGGTGATCATCGTGTTCTCTCCATTGGTGCTCATCGCGTTCTCTCCATTGGTGCTCATCGTGTTCTCTCCATCGTGCTCATCGAGGATCCGTGCTTTTCTTTGCAGCACGATCACGTGCTCATCATGGATCCGTGCTTTTTTTGCTCATCCTCGATCCGTGCTTTTCGTGTTCATCGTGGATCCGTTTCTTTTGTGCTCATCCTCGATTCTCGCTTTTCGTGCTCATCGTGGATCCGTTATTTTTGTGCTCATGCTCGATCCGTGCTTTTCGTGGTCATCGTGGATCCGTGCTTTTTTGGCTCATCCACGAGCCGTGCTTTTCGTGCTCGTTGTGGATCTACTGCTCCTTTTTTGGCTCATCCTCGATCCGTGCTATTTGTACTCACTCACTCCTCTGTGGATTCGTGCTCGGCGATCGGTTGCTGATCCTGTGCTTTGCTGCATCGTGCTTTGGTTCAATTTGGTGCTCATCGTGGTTCGATTTGCTGGCCGGTGCTCATCCGTGCTCGGATCCGTGCTTCCTCATTGCTGCTCATCGTGTTCGCTCCTTTGGTGCTCTCCTTGGTGCTCGTTGCTCTCTCTCTCTCACACACACACACACACACACACACTGAGCTCTCCTTTGCTGCTCGACGGGGACTTGGGTGCCGTGCTTGGATTCGTGCTCATCCTCGATTCGTGCTCAGCCTCGATTCGTGCTCATCCTTGATTCGTGCTCATCATTAATCCATGGATCCGTGCTCTGTCCATTGGTGCTCATCGTGTTCTCTCCATTGGTGCTCATTGTGTTCTCTCCANTCCTTGATTCGTGCTCATCATTAATCCATGGATCCGTGCTCTGTCCATTGGTGCTCATCGTGTTCTCTCCATTGGTGCTCATTGTGTTCTCTCCATCGCGCTCGAGGATCCGCCAAGCTGTCCGTTATGTGACTCTGACACGTGCTACTTCGTTTCTTCTTTGCGTTTTGCCTTCCCGGAAATGCTCCAAGATGCTGTCATGTCAATGTTACTCCAGACAAGTCTCCCACGAGAAGAGCAACTGCGAAGCAGTTTGAATGCTGCTGATTGTTTCATCATTCGTACAATGCAACCCCCCTGCTTCTTAGCATCAGTGGCACTCCTATTGTTGTTGGAGGCGATTTCCAACTTCCCAGGGCCAATCATCAATGACATCATCCGAGCCCACCAAAGTGAGACTCACCCACACACGCATGCACTTGCGCACATAGCGAAAAAACTCAACAAGTAAGCWCGGGGSAYGCATACATGCAAGATGGGTTGATCACAAACATATCCAGAGAACACAGCAAACAAAGTCTGAATCTGAATCTTTAGTTGCAAAAACATCAACGGGACAATGGACAGGATTTTCTCAGAAAAGTGGAGTTCTTGCACATCACAAAACAAAAACGATGCTGCGAAGGTAATGGCTCCCCAAACAAAACACTCAAAGATAAAGGGAAAAAGAGGCTCGGCGGAATATGATAGGGGAGTTCCTTGTGCTTTTTCTTTCTTTTGTGCTTTTTTCCTTTTCTGTTTTTGCGGGCGAATCCGCAACGGGTCATCAGGTAGTGATAATGACCGTACGCGCTCTATTTAGGTGAAGAAGGTAGTCACTTGCCAAATCCCGCCCCGCCTGGATGCACCTTGATGTACTGTGAGCCAGCCTCGTCGTCTGCACCACCAGCCTCGTCGTTTGCACCATCATGTTAAAGTCGTTGATAACGTTCCGACAGTGCAAGCGCAAGCGGTGTTGTTGAGATTAACAGCCGTCCTGGTTGCTCAGGGTCAAATTAGTGACAGCTGCACACTTGCGCAGCTCGTTCTTTGGAGCTATCGTGACAAATGGGTAAGAAGAAAGATTGCTAGTCACTGGTAAGAATCTGCAGTTGGCACGACCCTTTTTTGAAATCTCTGTGGCCGGAACCGTTTTTAATGGCGCAGTAATGGCCCCAGTCACACTAGGGCCTGTTATTGCAAATTGGCAGAGCCTGCTATGCATGCCTTCACTGTGCCAAGGTTGCGTCTTGCCCAGTGGAACTGCGAATCGGGTGACATACGTCAACGGCCTGTGGAGCGGCGGGATCCAGCACTTCGTAAGCACTGTGGAGGTCTGCACAAAATTAATTCGCTTCCCGGAAATGGGAAAAAACAACACCAGCGGAGATGCTATGGATACAGGTCAAAGTTCAAATGTTTGGGATTTCTGCTGAGTGAGGAGGCCCTTTCACTACCAACAGTCAAATGCATGGCATCATGGTTTTGTCTTCATTGAGGGAGAAATTTCTCATGTAATGAGATTGCCTCGTCTTGGCCTCCAGCAGAAGGCACAAGCTTGGGCACGCGTTTCCAAACGCCTCTGCCCTTCTCTGCTGACAATCTGTGCATTGGTGTATGTTCAAGGGTTGGCTAGTGGTGCCTACTCGTAGCCCTACTCGGTCGACAATGGGCCTATCTGTGACACGGCATTCGAAACGTATCCACGCTGGCAGGAAAAGCACGTATCGATGATGAGCATGAAAAGCACGTATCCATGATGAGCACCGACCGACGACCACCAAAAGCACGGATAGAAGATGAGCATGTTATCATGCACCGAAGTTCCCGCACGAATCCACGATGATGAGCACGAAAAGCATGGATCCACGGTCAGCACGTGACGAAAAGCACAGATCCACGATGAGCACGTGGTCGTACTCCAAAGAAAAGCACGGATCCTTGAGCACGATGGAGAGAACACGATGAGCACCAATGGAGAGAGCACGATGAGCACCAGTGGACAGAGCACGAATCGAAGCACGGATCCACGGATCAATGATGAGCACGAATCAAGGATGAGCACGAATCGAGGCTGAGCAGGAATCGAGGATGAGCACGAATCCAAGCACGGCACCGAAGTCCCCGTCGAGCAGCAAAGGAGAGCTCAGTGTGTGTGTGTGTGTGTGTGTGAGAGAGAGAGAGAGAGAGACCAATGAGCACCAAGGAGAGCACCAAAGGAG